AAAAAAAAAGTAGAAAGCCAAAATGTTTTACAAAAATTATATGGTGTTATGTTATTAATACATAAGTAATAATAAAATTGGGCACATTTTTAATAGTCGGGCATACTTATCAACTGATAAACATCTGCTACTATCATTATTATTCTGAGACTGCCTAGAAATTTCCTGATGTGAAAAAAATCCAAGAAAATCAAACTGTGTGTGTGTGCATATGCACACTCACATATATATATATATATACACACACACACACACACACACATATACACATACACATATTTTCGGGGGGGGGGTGAGATAAGGTCTCATTATGTAGTTCAAGCTGGCCTTGAACTATGTTGTCCAAGCTGGCCTCAAACTCAAGGCAATCCTTCTGCCTCAGCCTCCTGAGTGCTGGGATTACAGGTGTGTGTCACCATGCCTGGTTTAATCTATCTTTTTTTTTTGGTACCAGGGATCAAACTCAGGTCCTTGCACTTGCGAGTCAGGTGGCGGAACTACTGAGCTAAATCCCCACCCCAATTTATCATTTTTAAAGAGAAGAGAAGTTTGATGTCAGCCTGGGCTACATAGTTCAAGCACAGCCTGAACTACATAGAAAGACCAAATAAAGGGAACACATGAAGTGATATATATCACATACCAGGAACAGAAAGAGCTTAAATTCTAAATGTGAAAAGTGATTACAACTACTTATTGTATTTATAATTCAGCTTTACTATTTTCTCATGTCATTCTAAAAAGTTAATTTGAAATAAAAGATTTTGAATTAAAATTCAGCCCATTTGGCACCAAATATTATGTCCTCTGAGCTGAGGGAAGTTGATGTAGTTTCTAAGCAAAATAATAATAACCTTACAAGGGTACAAATGGTGGTGGTTTTTCCTGTCCCGGGCATACCCACGATGAGAGTGTAGTCTTTTGAAAGAAGAACCTTTTTCATTGCTTGTCTCTGAGGCTTATTCAAACCTACATTTAAGTAAAAAAAAAAAAAAAAAAGAGTAAGATTTCTGAATTTCAATACACAAATTCACTATTTTATAAGAAAAGCAATCTCTGTCAGGCCTGGCGCTGCACACCTGTGATCCCAGCACTCAGGAGGCTGAGGCAGGAGGATCACCAAGAGTTCAAGGCCTGTCTGAACTACAGAAAGTTCAAGGTCAGCCTGAATTACAGAGTGAGACCCTGTCTCAAAAACAAAAAGCAATCTCTGTCTGCATCTGTTCAATATATCTTTTCAA